CGTTTAGGCCCAACAGAGAGAAGGATGAGCTAACATACGCCATCGGGACTATTGAACATGGTGGCCGAACTAGAGGCAAAGGAAGTGTCTCGTGGGAGCATGGATTCCCTCAGGACAGACCTTCTTACAGAAGTCGCCAGAGAAAGAAGGAAGAAGAGGCACAGCGGCTCTAGAGATTGGAGGAAGCGGTGCGTGAAGCACAGGAGCGGGAAAAAAACCTTGAAGCGAGAATGCAGGAGGAAATCAGAAGGCAAGTGCAAATAGCAGTGAGTGCAAGTAAGCAGGCATCAGAGCCAGAAATCAACATTAGCCAATCTGTTCAGTTAAAAAGCAGCTGCGCTTCCACGGAGATACCAAATCAAGGGGACACAGGACTGCGCTTCCCTATGGATGACGTCACTGAACCTTGTACAACGTGTGAGCTACACATTCCGAAGGAGAATTCTACAATCAAGGTGGCTATCGGTCTTGTTAATCCTATCGACCGAACCAAGACACCAAGGATTCATGGGAATATAATCCAAGAAGGATATGCTACCATCTCGGTAGATAAAGCTGAAAAAGGTTTTAGTGATTTGCCTCTTGACATTCCTGGAGGTGATGGCGAGAAGACTCTAGGAGAAGCGGAGAAGACATTCATTCTATGGCGCAAGCGCTACATCATCATTCCAGGGATGTCGGCTCCACCTCCTCCTGAACTACCTCACCATAGGTACGTGCGGATGAAAACACTACATCATTAATTTGTATTGGCTTAAATAATTAACAATCTGCTCATAATAATATGTCATTCCTTTTTTTTGTAGCAGATCCTCCCCCAACCTAAATCCAATTGTTCAATCGCCAGATCATCATAGTGCTCTGTACGATGACATTATGTTGGAAGACGAGGCTGCGTCTACACCATCTCCAAGGAGGTCTCCAACGCCGTAGCCGCCACCTCCAAGGAGGTCTCCAACGCCGCTGCCAACACCTCCAAGGAGGTCTCCAATGCCTCCCCCGCCCCCGCCTACCAAGAAGCCTAGCAAGAGGCCAGCCCTCAAATGAAGAACCAGCCCCCGCCTGCAAAGAAAGCCACCGTGAAACCAAGGGCTATTCCCAAAATAATATCTGAAGAGAAGGAAGAAGGAACTGATGCATATAAAAAAGACATGTCTAGATTCTATGACAAACTTAAAATGAATCAAGAAGCAAGGAGAAACCCGGAGAAACCGTACTTCTTCGTAGGTCCAGATATTCTAAGAAAAAAGGTGACTTCTTACCAGCAACAACAGCGGGAATCTTGTAAGCCGTCCAAATCAACGTTATCAGACTATGACCGCACTCTCACCAAGTCAATTGAGGCGGCACAGAAAAAGAAGCGGGCAGGGAAAGGCATTGCCCAACTCGGACAACAAGCGCACCAATCAATCCCCCCGCTAGTTGTTGGTAATGAATATGGTTCGAATTTAGGATTAATGCATCCAGGCAAACATACCTCCGGATGTCGATTTGGATCACCTTGGTGAATTTCTTGATGAGACTCGGTCTCGACCTTTACCAGATGTTTGGTGATGGAAACATTGAGAGTGCTTGGCGGAGGTTGATATTTGGAAGAAAAAAATTTGTACTAGGCCGAGTCTATACAACCCTCAAGCCTTATCTGATCTGGGGACACAAATGTACCTGCTAAACAAGTGGTACATGCAGGCATCTACCAGTGGAGACTTCTGCGTTGGTGTCAGAATTAGAGATGAACATTGGTTCTGTGGCGATGATGTTATGTATGTTGACTTTGCAGAATTTCATCAACTATGCCACCTGACCTCTCTGGACAAAGTTATCATTAGCTGCTATTGCCTGTAAGTAATAATTCTTTCGATCTATTATTAAACTCATCATATGTGTGTATATGCATATAAATTATCCTAACAAGTACTATATATATGCAGATTTACAATGACAGAGCTCAGATAGGAAGGCTGCAATAAAATTGGTTTTGTTGATCCCCATATAGTATTCAAAGACCCAATTACTCCAAAGACTAATTGGAAGTCTGAGTCAGAGAGTAACCTCATGAACTTCTTAGTGAACCAACGCCACAAGAAGGATATACTCTTTCCCTATAACTTCAAGTGAGTGTTAATCATGTCGATCATATCCTTAATGGCTCATATGTTGATTCTAGTTAATTAATGAGTGTTATGCGTTATATCCTATAAACACATGCAGCAATCACTGGATATTGATGGACATCGATCTGGTGAAAAGTCACTTGATAATCTATGACTCGATGAGAAAACCACAACAAGACTACCAAGATATGATAGATATTATCCAGAGGTAATTTCGGGATCTCTAGCAACTATATATACACACAAACATGATGATTAACTATATCTGATGACGTGGCAAATTTTTTATTGGGCAGTGTTTGGAAAACCTTTATTGAGAAGCAACACATGGAAAAATGCCAAAGCGCCACTGAATGTAATTCCTTTGAAAGTAAGTCCCCTGAATCGCATCATCTTTATTAATTAAACATATAGCTTTCACCGGATCACCAGATTGGATGACAAATCTTTTTCTCGTAAAGTGGTGTCTAAAAAGGCAGAACAGGGAACAACTACTGTGGTTACTATGTTTGCAAGTTTATCAAGGTGCTCTCCCAAAGAACTCCTCTGAGAGAGACTCAAAGTACGTTAAAAATACACTATATATTCATTTAATTATTATTATTGATTGTGTTACTATGTCTTTATATATATATATATGTACATATATTAATTTATTTTCCTTTAATTCAAACTCTGTAGACTCGATGGTTGGAGGAAAAGGTCATACTGGCAAGACCAAATCAAAGCAATTCAAGAGTCTATAGCGGATTTTTTAATGAGCAGGTCATCGATTCCAAGGGCGAGTTCTACTTGACCCAACACTGCCATTGAAGCCAAGCTAGAGGATGAGAGGAAACTTGTTATGTCACAACAACTGTAATGCAATCTTTTGTAATATATGCACATGAAATAATATAATGTAAAATACACATATGCATGCATGCATTTAATATATATATGATGCTATGATGCATGCATTCATATATATATATATATATATATATATATATTTCTATGCTTGAATTGTGTGATTTAATACGTTCATTGTGCTTGAACCGAAACATACTATATGTGCGTATAAATGTATAATTAGCAGCGTACAATACGACTTCGAAAACCTATTTTGAAAAGAAAACAAAAAAATGAAAAGAAAAGAAAAAAGAAAAAAACCTTTAGTCCGGTTCGTATTACCAACCGGGACTAAAGGTGCCGGCCATCATGGCATGTCAGGAGGCACCTTTAGTCCCGGTTGGTGTTACCCACCGGGACTAAAGGTCCTCCTTTAGTCCCGGTTTCTGACCCGGGACTAAAGGACCCCCCCTTTAGTCCCGGATGCTTGCTCCCGGGTGGGGAACTGGGACTAGAGGGGGTTCCCCACCGGGAGTAAAGCTCGGTTCTCTACCAGTGTCGGACAGCTCCTCGAGGGAAACATTGGTTGTCTTGTTATCATTACCCATGTTGACGATTGTGGTCCCACCGAGCGTGCCAGAAAATGTGTCGATGTAGAAATCTGGACGGCGCAGGACACACGACACGCCTAGGAGATCTGCTACATTCCAATGCAGGACAAGTAGGTTCTGTGGTTATAGGCGTGCCAGTCAATTTGACCCTACAATTAACAAGAAGAGAAACGATCAGTAATTTCAGGTGGAACATGTTGGTGTTGCTCTAGACAGTTCCAGTGTATGGCTAAAGAGCCGACTAGTAAGGTTACCGGCTACAGTGCCGATAAGCAAGCAATGCAATGATGTAAAACAGCAGAAACAAGTGCCATCGGCTGTTAATATGTGTAAATATTGTAAACTAGAAAGCCGACAAATATATAAAGAGATAGAGCATGATGGTGCAAGCTATCATAACATCGTCTGATTAACCAAGAGAAAAGTGGCAAATTAACCAAGACAAAACAGATATTTAAAGGAAAGCCGATGTACGTATAAAGAATAAATTATGAAAGCACAGGCTATAGGCTATTGAGCCGATCCAGAGTAATTAAAGTATAGCATGCAAACAATGAACTATCTAGTATAAACAAACCTATAAACTAACCAGATCTAATCTATTATCACCACCAAACAGTTCAAATTGATGCAGTGTTGGTAAAGACAACAAATCAAAGCTGACAAGCCGATAGATCTACTTATAACTCTACAGAATCATGAAAACATGCTATAAGCATGAGGACACAAGCCATCGGCTATATAGCCGATGGTAAGCATAGTGAATGCACAAAGTCATATTTTCCCAATAAATAAAACCATGAACTGATAAAGTCTAACTTAACGCCACTATCAAACAGGTCGATATGATGCAGCGATAATAGCAGACAATAGATTAGAAATTACTAGCCGATGAATCTATCTATAGCAAAATAAGGCTTTGAACATACACTATGTTTGATTAAAATTAAGATAATACAGCCGATACAGTAGATTCTGATGTTAGAGCAAGGTTTTGATCGTGTTATAGTAACAAGATGACAGATTGATATGTTAAGAGCTGATCTATCTTAATCTTAATCAGGTAAATTGATGATATTGCTAAATCTAGTAAAATACCAAATATGGCAAGATCGATAACTAGTGATTTGATATCAAACCAAGCAAGAGATTAAAAGATGCAGCCTTAATAAGACACAAATCGATAAGGGACAATAGTCTGTTGGACATCTAAAGTGATGGTCCTTTGTTGGCAGACACCAACTTTGGAGCATTTTGTCATAAGACACTCTAGTTCGGTGAAATTAGGCCACAGGACACCGCAGACCGGTTGCAGCCAGTTGAGAAGAGAGAACAGCGGTGAAATGACATTTTTGCCACTGCCACTTTCTTCTTTCTCTCTCCCTTTCTCTTTTTTCTGTTTCCTGTCCCCGTCACGAGCGGTTGCGCCTCCGATGCAACTGGTCTACGCCACGCCGCCACCCTCAGCATGGGCATGTATGCCGCCACCCGGGTCTAGCGGGAAGGAGCCCGTGCTATTGTCGTTGGGCAACGAGGATAGGGCCGCCGCTGCGCCCGGGTCTTCCTTGTCGTCCTCCAACGCCGCCAGAGCGCTCGCCACCACCGACGACAACGCCCGGTTCATGTCGAACCCGCACGCCGCTGGCGCCTCGCCATGGCCTGCATGACAGATGCCTGCAGACAGGAAGAAGAAGAACGGCGAGGTCAGTCACGGCACCACCGAACAGAGAAACCAAGAATGCAGAGCTCGAAGCTAGCTAGCATCGGAAGAAACAAGAACACACGCTCTCACCGACGTCCGAAGGCGGCCACTGAAGGCCGAGGCTGCTGGACATGAGGCTGAGCCGCACCGCCGGCTCCAGTGTGGCCGACGCCGCCGCCCACCACCCCGTTCCCATCCCCGCTGCCCTGCTTGTTCCCCTCCCGCCCTCCTCACCCCCTCTTCCGATTCCGGTGGCGCTGGCTCCAATCCCGACCACAAGCCCGAGGCCCAGCTCCGGCAGCGCCCTCCCGGTGGTGTCCGGCACTGGCGCCTCGCCAAGGCTCAGCCCCAGCTCCATCCCACCAGAACCAAGAAATAGCACCGCCCCCGGCAAGCAGGAGCAGCGAGGAATGGGAGCAGCACCGTCCCCGCATGCGACACGAGGGGACAATGATAAGAGGAGAGCGTGGCAATGGTGTGGGAGAGCTCAGCCAGCTGAGTGATGGAGGAGAGGACCCGTGTTTGGTTTGGTTTTGACTCCTTTGGGACAGCAGTTTGATGAGTGCACGTGAGTGGCCCGGCAAAAGGGTGCAGGCAGGGGGGATCGAATCATGAGGGCAGGATTAAAAAAACGCAGGGCGATGGCAGCATGGCCGCATGGAAGCGCTTGTAGGGGACCGTGACGCCTAAGATGGAGAGGTGAATTAGGAAACTTAAAAGTCCAACTCAAAACTATGGCCTCTTTTTATAACCTTAGCAAAACATAAGCAAAAGATAAACTATCTAAATGTGCAACTATGGTTTTGTTAGTGTGTTGTTATCTCTACCGCAAAAGGAGTACTACAATGTAAATGCGGAAGCTAAAGAGCAAGGTAGACATATGCAAACTCCAGTCGATGATTCGGTATTTTTACCGAGGTATCGAGAAGCGCGCAAGCTTCCCCCTAGCCCTCGTTGGAGCCCCTCACAAGGAATCCCTCGCAAGGACCAAGCTCTCGGTCGGGCAACTCTGTGGATAGTCCCGGGCCTTCCCTATGCGCAAGTGGGTCTCTGGTGTGCCTTCCGGCAATCCTCTCCCGGACCGCTCACCGCCGTCTTCACTATAGAGCTTTCGGCCGAAACATCGCGGGCCTTGTTCCCTCCGGTACACGGTGGCGGCCACACCACAAACGTGGTTGGTGTGATCTTGCAAGATTACAAGCCCCTTCGTTGTACAACAATGGTGCACACAAGCACCGAGTGGTAAGAGGTATGCAAACCTCACTAAACACTAGGCCTAAACCTAGAGCAAGCGTATAAGTGGTGGTCTAATCAACCTAAGCACTTCGCAAAGCACCTACGCTAATCACCTAATGAATCACTAAGCACTATGCAAGTGGAGATCACTAAAATAGTATATCAACACCCTAGGTATGTTTCCTCAGCTTCACTCCTCCCAAATAGCCGGTTATGGGGTCTATTTATAAGCACCACTGAGAAAGTAGTCGTTGGGGATGAAACCCGCTTTTCTGCTGCTGACCGGACACTGCTTTCGTCCTGACTGGATGTGTTCGGTCAGCCTGGCCGTTAGAGCGTGCGATCAACTGATCAAACGCAGATGGTGTCCGGTCACATGTCACCGGACGCGTCCGGTCGCAACTTCGCCGCTTTGGAACCTCTCTGGACTCAATCGGACGCTGTAGTTCCTATGTCCGGTCGATCACAATCCAGCGTCCAGTCGATGCTGAGTGTGTTGTCGCGACAGTGAACAGTGTCCGGTCACTTTCAGTACTCAGCGTCCGATCGCTGCTGCAGACGCCTGCTGTTGCTGAGCAACTAATCGGACATGTCCGGTCACCTCTGTGAAGAAACATCTTCGTGCTTAGACTTTGCTTGATATCTTGGGTCTTCTCTTGTGCTTCTAGGGTCTTGCTTAGGTGTTGATCATTGGATCATCACGTCGCCTTTGTCCAAGTCACGTCTTGTACCCTATTGAACTACAAAACAATCACTTGCAAATTCATTAGTCCAATTTGGTTGTGTTGGTCATCAAACACCAAAATCCAAAGTAAATGGGCCTAGGGTCCATTTTCCTTATAATCTCCCCCTTTTTGGTGATTGATGACAACACGACCAAAACAATGCAAAGGGCAAAGGGCAAGGATGCAACGCAAAGGGCAAGGTTATATGATGCTAAAAGATACCAATTGAAAATACCAATTGTAAAGCTAAAAGATACTACATGTAAACATCTTTGGAACTTATCTTGCCCTTGCAAATGTCCCCATGTGGCATTATGGATTTAAGCCTTGCTTTTTGGTCCTACAAATTTTCCTATTACATAGACTAAACCATAATCCCCATGTGGCATTATGATCGGGCTTGCTTTTGGTCCTACAAATTCTCCCCCTTTGGAATCAAACACCGAAAAGGAACACATTAGTAGTACTAGGAAGGGTCAAACTTTGTGATCCTTTGTATGTGGAGTGAAATAGGTCACAAAGTTTGACTCTCACATTACATAGACTAAGCTCCCCCTAAATATATGCATACATATGATGGAGAATGTAGTTTATGCATAATTGGCAAATTAATGCTCAAGTGAAATCAACATGATGATATCGGTTTAGAAATACCACATGTGGAAACCAATTTGATTTCTACCACTTGCAATAGGTGGTGGATATTTGAAGTATGATGCTTACTCCGGGGACTCCATTTTCCTTGCAATGAGACTACTACACACATGATAAGCTTGAAAAGATGTTAGTCTCAAAGCATCCAACTTGTAGAGTAACCTCCCCTTAAATTTATGCACACAAGTATGGAATACTTGTAGGAGACATGCACATTGGTTTTAGAATAAAAAATACCACTTGAAAGATGACATCACATGAATGTGAGAATCATTTTTGAAGGTGATATTCGGGAGAAATTATCTACAATTTGGACTTTAGCACATATTAGATGAACAATTGTAAAACAAGCTATGTGCCGTGCTTCTAAACAATTTAAACCATGTAGGTTTACTCTAAGGGTTAAGAGTGAGACCGAGCAAGCCTACCATAAGATATACCTAGTGTATGCATGACAAAAGATTAAACATGCAAATGCAAACCTAGGCATGAAAGGAACTAAATGCTAATTGAGATTGCAAGAATTTGAATCTTGATACCAATTGAAAGGAATTAAATCTAGTTACCTAACATGTGAAGGGGAATTTGGGTCAATAGTATTCACTAACCCACTTGGCAATTGACATCATCCAATGTGATGCACCCCACGAAATGCACCCATACTTTGCCAAGTCTCCAAATTCCCCGAAGTCCATCGGACTTCTCACTTCCCTTTTGGGATCCAAACCTTCTTGGTGCTCTTCATATTTGAAATGATCTCTTTTGGCACCCAAAAGTGTTTCACCCCATTGTTGGCTTGCTTGTTCACCTTGATGGCCACCACCTTGCCATTTTTCTTCTTCTTTAACAAGTATGGTGTGGAGGCCTTCTTGTCCACCTTGTTGGTGTAGGTGTTGGAGAGCTTGCTTGTTTGCTGTTTTCTCTTTCTTCTTTGCTCCTCCCCCATTCTTCACCTTGCACTCATAGGATTTGTGGCCTTCCTTGTGGCACATGTAGAAAACCATAGTTTGTCCTTTATCAAGCTTCTTCACTCCCTTGACGGTGTTATCTTGATGAAGTTGGGCTTGCTTCGTCTTGCCTTTCACTTGAGTCAAGTCCTTGGTGAGGCGAGCCACTTCTTGCTTGAGTTGCTCATTCTCCATTGCAACCTCTTGTGTGCATGTATCTTCAATAACTTTCTCAACACAAACTTGGTTGCACAATGGTGAGTCTAAACATAAATCATTGCAAGAAGTAGAGGCATCCTTTTTAGGCATGTCAAAAATAGAACTTTTCTTTTTAGGTGCCTCGATGGGGGTTGTACCGATGGCTTCAAGATTAGCAATTTTATTAGTTAGCTCATCACAATGTTTGCACATGGTTTCCATTTTAGTAAGCAAACTTTTATAAGCATCTTGTGAGCTAGCTAACTTTTTCTTTAATTTTTTATTTTTCTTTACAAGTTGCTCATCATTGATTTTGCATGCACTTGTTGTGGCACTAGTCTCAAGTTGCTAAATTTTAGTAGATAGCTCCATATTAAGATTGGCAAAAGTTTCATAGTGTTGAAGCAAAGTAGCATAAGCTTGTTGTGAGCTATCTAATTTTTTCTTTTAATTTTTCAAGCTTCTTTTGTTGACTAGTGCAAACTTTAGCAAAGTTAAGATTTTCTTGCACAATTTCATCATAAGAAGGTAGCTCATCATCACTATCACTATTATTGTCACTATCACTAGGGATAGGCTCTTTGTTACCTCGTGCCATAAGGCACACACGTGAGGTGCTTGATGATGAGTGCTTGTGCCCTCGTCTCTTGTGATAGTCTTCTTCTTCACTTGAAGAATCTTCCCATGACCTTATTGATGTGAGGGTTTTGTCCTTGCACGCCTTCTTCTTTGTCTTGGGTGTGGGCTTGTTTGGACAAACTTCCACAAAGTGCCCCAATTCGCCGCATCCATAGCATCCTTTCTTTCTTTGCTCATTTCTTTGATTGGTGAAGATGAAATCTTGAATTTGGATGGGCACACCCTTGACATTGAGAATTTGGATCATCTTCTCCACCTTGTTGATAAGCTTGATAGATTCTTCATCAAGGTTGGAGGTGGTGGAGGAAGATTGATCATCATCACTTGAATCTTCTTTATCATCATCATCATCCTCCTCTTCTTCACTTGAGGAGCTTGAGCTTGAGCTTGTCTCAACTTGTTTGCCCATCATCTTCTTTTTCTCACTACATGTGAGAGCTCTTGGAGTTTTAACTAAATTTCATGTGCCGTATTTAAAGTGAACACTTGGTTGAACACATCCATGCTAAAAGATTCAAACAAGCAATTTTTAGCTCTAGCATTGAAATGTATTTCTTTTTCTTCACTCTTTGTGGGTTTATCGGGATTCTTAATGGGTTTCATCCCATCACGAGTGACTCTCCAAACACCCAAATCTACCGCCTCAAGGTAGCAAGCCATTCTAGCTTTATAATAGGGGAAGTTAGTGCCGTCAAAGTGCAGAGGCCTAGAGGTATCCATTCCAACCACTCTAAATAGCGTCGGCTCAACGGCGGTGAAGCCAAAGGTTCAAATTGAGCCAACCGGCTCTGATACCACTTGTAGGGGACCGTGACGCCTAAGAGGGGGGTGAATTAGGCAACTTAAAAGTCTGACTCAAAACTATTGCCTCTTTTTCTAACATTAATAAAACCTATGCAAAAGATAAACTATCTAAATGTGCAACTATGGTTTTACTAGTGTGTTGCAATCTCTACCGC